ACTGCCCAATTCAAACGTGCGAGATCGATCGATCGTTACAACTCTCTGCGCGCCTAGTAACGATCGATCGATCTCGCCGCACGTTTGAATTGGGCAGTGGGCCGGCCTAAAACAGCGATTTTTAATAATTAATAACTCGCTGACTTTTGCGAAAATTGCAAAATGGTAGAGGACTTTTCGACTTAGTCTAGTCCACTCTATCCCACAATAAGCGTTGATGCGGGTATTACATAACACCCTGTATAATTTATTATACGCTTGTAATTCTTTTTACTAGCCTTTACGCACAAACTCATACCAGGATAAGTTGCGCACAGCGTAGCAGAACATTTTCATACGTAAAACACTTAGTTCAGAAGTCTAATAAAAAAGATATTGGTATTTGACACCCAGATAGCGCGCATAGTTCTATGAATATTCTTCTGGGGTGCAAATATTGTTAATTTCAGAATATTCCAATCGAATATTCTATAAATATATATAAATTGTTACAATTGGAAATCATACATTCATAACAAAGAGGAACGTTTTTAGAATATTCGTCGTGAATGCCTTTGGAATATTTTGCTCAGAATAATTTTTTAATATTCATCGATTAATATTCATTATGTAATGGAACACCAGCCGTTCACCTGCTACCGAGGTAAGATGCGTCGCCATCACCGGGCCGTGAATGTTGTTCGGCATTTGCTCGAATCTACCTTGCACATCGAGCTTGTCCCTGATATCGTTCACTCGTAACATAACGAATTCACCCTTGCCGTTGAAGGTGTACTCCACGCCGTCGAACGTGACAAAGTGAGGATCGCCGAATATTGCCGACACCCCCGGCGCTTGATAGGCGATGCAATCCTGGGACGGTCTTCTCTCGAATCGGAATGTCTCGCAACCGACGGCCTGCTCTTCCTGCCAGAGACAACACGCGTAGATGGGCACGATGTCGTGCCACCAGTGCGAGAGAGTCGGGACTTTGTTAGCCTCGTTCCACGGGAAGAAGCCCAAATTGTGAGATCGATGCGGTCGCGAGCCCCATTGCTGGTCGTAAGTCAGCATCAGATAACCATTTTTATCGTAACAGCATTGTTGCTCCGAACCGTCCATGCTGAGATACAACACGAATAAACGTATAATGTAAAAGGGAATTACTTTAGGTCTCACCAAAACCAATAATTTCCCTAATAAAGTACAAAAGAATGATCCAGAGATCAAAAACTTTATCGATTACCATGTGTGCTGAAAGTAGGCGAACTGCCCCTCGCAAAACGTACGACTACTTACTTGGGCGCACCTGTCCTCACGCAGTGAGTCGCATACTGATTATAATAGCAGTCTATATTCGAATCCTTGTCGCAGTTGTAGTCGGGGAGGAAGCGGCCTTTGTCGTACAAAGCGTGATCCATGATGCATGGACAAAGCGCTACTTCGGCCGCGAAGTTTTTGAGATACCGATCATGCATAATCCATTTGTCGCAGATTTTTGTGGCCCACTTCGACCCGAACTGCCGCTCCCATTGAGGAGCGAAGTACCAGCCGAGCGGAATCGGCCTGCTCCACAGGCTCCTAAAATTTCAATCGTTCAGTCCCAGACGTATCGCCGTACATTACAATCATTTTTATCCCGCGAAACCTACGGCGTTATCGACAGCCCGGAGTACAAGTGCGGCTCGGTCAAATTGATTTGGATGAAGCCGAACACCATGTCCAAGTGGTACGGATTGTACGCTTCCCGGTACTTGGCTGGTTTGATGATGTAATTACCAATGTTGGTATGCGACCTCTGAAATGTATGTAATCAATTAATTGACCGCCATTATTCTTTCTCACCGTTTCCGATTCCCTCGCGGAAAGAATTTCTATAAATAACTACAAAAATTGACTTGAAATAGAAATTTGTAGAAATTTTTATATCTTCGTAACGGGAACTTATAGCCAACCCAGCTGGCTAGTTGCTTTATTTAAAGTTGATACAACGTTTCGACCCTATAGTTTGGGTCCTTTTCAAGTATTACTTAAGTAAGTCATCTTGTCAGAAGTGACAGTGTCAAATTGTAAATTGATGATACATGTGAGCGCTGTGATTGTTGATTTTATATCTTCGTTGAAACTTAATTTTTTTGTAAAAATATCTACGAAATAGTACAACAAATTACAATGTTCTCAAATCAAGAAATTATTGCAAGTAGTGTTTCATGTACAATTTTGTAAAAATTAGTAGAAAACTTTACTAGTTTTACAAATTTGCGAAACAACAAAATCTTAAGGAACGATATCGTCTGCTCACTTGTAGAATATTGCAAAAATTGACAAAAGCGTTCCAATTCTAGCATTGTCGTGTTAATTTTTATAACACTTTTTAAATTCACGTAGAATTTCTTAGATTCTGGCAGTTATATCTTAGTTTTTGTAGTATACAGGGTGTTATGTAATACCCGCATCAACGCTTATTGTGGGATAGAGTGGACTAGACTAAGTCGAAAAGTCCTGTACCACTTTGCAGGTTTTGCAATAGTTAACGAGTTATTAATTATTAAAAATCGCTGTCTTAGGCCGGCCCACTGCCCAATTCAAACGTGCGGCGAGATCGATCGATCGTTACAACTCTCTGCGCGCCTAGTAACGATCGATCGATCTCGCCGCACGTTTGAATTTGGCAGTGGGCCGGCCTAAGACA